CATACACATACACACACATACACACACATACACACATACACACACACAAACATACACACATACACACACTCATACACACACATACACACACATACACACATGCACACATACACACATACACACATACACACATACACACATACACACACACATACACACATACACACATACACACATACACACATACACACATACACACATACACACATACACACATACAGACGTACACACATACACACATACACACATACACACATACACAGATTTAAAAAAAAAAACAAAAACATACACACATACACACATACACATGCGCATGCACATACACATACACATACACATACACGTATACATACACATACACTTATGCATATATATATATACATACATACATACTCATATGTATAGATAGATCTACAAATCTACAATGCATATCTCTACTCGTATATGCTATGGGTTCACATTCTTATTGTGTGTGTTTTGAGGTGACGGAGCTGGTGCTGTCCATCTACACCCGCCGCGAGCGAGTGCCGGAGGCGGAGGAGCTGCTGCTCTGCTCCAGCCACACCACGCTCGAGGAGGGCTCCGGCGGGCGCCCCGTGGGTCGCGCGGGCCGCACGGCTCGCGTCGGGCCAAGTTCCAATGGGCCTCGGGGCTTCGGGGAGCTGGGGCTTTTTGGAGTTTTGCTGGTTGGAATAAGTGGTGGCTGAAAATGATGAATGATGTATGGCACCTTGGTGCTTTTGGGCCCCTGGGAACGACTTACGACTTGCATAGGCGCGTGTCTAATCACAAAGGCAGCGGAGTTTCGGGAGATCCTGGCATCACAAGTCTTTGAAGGATTTGTGCTGGCAATCGGGAGCTTGAGACAATGCCAGGAGATTGAGCTGCTGCTGCGGCGCTTCTTCCATGCCAGGCGGGTGGTTTCATTTCGCATCTCCATGTCAAGCATTGAAGTAGGGAAAAGCACCGAGTGAGTTGACCCTCTTCACTTTGAGTCTTTGCCTGATGACTCCTGACGTCATTCGGACCGTTCACAGGCCCGCTGTATTGGCACCTGTAAAAATATTTTGGGCATTCCACAGTAGGGGGCAATGTGGGCTTGGCCAAAATCAAGTTTATCATTGCCAAGATGATTAAACATGTCGAAAGGGAGTGCAGTGTTTTGGACGAAATTTGACAGGGAAACGGCTACCGTTTGTCTATATTTTTGCGGGGCTCGAGGGTCAAGCAGTGGTCTGCGTACTGGCAATACTTGATTTGGACCTTTGCGATGTTTGTCTCTCAGGAAGCACCACCGTGAGGACAGGTCGAAGACTTAACCATCAACAGGTTGTGTGACTGTGAGTGACCTGTGCGCGACAGAGCAGTTGACCTGAAGTAATGCCACACAATAGCCCAAGATGAATGGCTGAGGCTGTACTGCGTTGGCAATGTGCACTTGCCACTTGGACATATTGGCGAGGTTGGAACAACTGTTCGTCGAGTGTAAGGCGATGACAACTCCTAGTTCGCAAATGCCTACTGAATTGTAGACATGGTGACAGCTTCGAATCAAGCATAAAGGTTTCGGGGCGAGGGTATGTGTCCACAGCTCCCATTTTTTCTTCATTTCTAGTCTGTCATCTGCCACGGAACTGGTGACAAGCCAACCACTATGGCTGAATTTGTCTTTCAGGCTTCCCTACGTGACTCAGTGCGGCACCGTGGAGGCTTTGAGGTGCGGGTGCCAGTGGCAGGATTCGGTTTGGTGAGCCAGGGTTGTTGATCATAGCCATTTGAAGAAGGTGAGCGGCCCGGCGGCTCGACTGGATTGTTACTGCAAAGGGATGACGGTTACGACAGATGGCCATGAAGACATTTGCAGGATAGAGGCTGGAAGCCCCCGAAACAAAATGGCAACCTGCGTCAAGAGTTGACTGGGTGTCAAATTTCATGGAGTGGCGGCGTGGAGTTGCAGGCGCATGGAGGAGCAGTTCGGCTTCGAGCATGCGAGTGCCCTGGTCTTTGCCAGCGGAGCGCCCAATCAGATGCTTATGAACGCTCTCAACAGGCGGGGAGCGGGGTTTCGGCGCAAACTTTGTGTGCTTTGCAACGAATTGGCCGTTGACATTGCCCAATTTGTCTGCGTAGGCACAACTTGGCGGTGAGCATCTTGCAGAAGGAGGTGTTGAAGGATGCCGTTGCCATGGTGGGTCGACGGCTCAGCCTGCAAGGCTAGTGCTAGTTGAGGCAAAAGGGTTGGTGCTTCTGCAATGCATCATCGTCATATTCAAAAAAAATAAAAACCCTAAGCTTGGGCTTCAACAAAGTGCATTGGCAATGTGTAAGCCAGAGTTTGGTGGAGACTTGGGGAACATGGGGCAAAAAGTGGTTCAGCTATGGGCTACGCGGCCACCGTGCCGAGTTTGAATGCTGAGGACAAAAGTATCATGGACGGCCGATGCAGGCACAAAGATGAATTTGCGAAGCGGAACCCCCTACGTGTCATGAGACCACGCTTCGCAGCACTCGTTTCCCAGCGCAGAGACACCCAAAATGCTACTCACAAAACGACCAAACAATGGGGGCTGATGTTTTCTCAATGACTGGAGGTCTGGGTAACACGTTGGCGTTGTGTTCATCCCGCTTGGACTGTTTGTAGTACACCCTGGGATTGCACCCTTGGCAAATGATCCGCATGTTTCAAAGCAATCACACTTTATTTGGACACAACACAAGTTGGGGCATTGGATCTAAGCGCCTCCCGAACACGATCAGGCGCTTTAGCTCCCCACTATTCTTGAAAAAAGGGTGCAACTGGCTGAATGGCTGCAGAGCCTGGTCCGGTCACCCGAAGATGCTGCTAGCCTGTAGGTTTTCACCCAAGAATTGCCATTGTGTTACCCGGATCCTGGTTCACTTGGTCTTCACAGCCTACCAGCAAATTTGCCTGAAACATGCCAGCTGCCAGGCGGTATGCGCACAGACGAACGGAGTGGGCAAGTCGCACTACATCTACAAGAAGATATCGGAATTGCAGGCAAAGTGGGCTTGATTTGATGCATGGCATATACAGCTGAACTCTGCCCGTGTTTCTTTTCGTATAGGGACATCTGTTGAGAGTCATCCCAGGCGGAGCATGAAAACAAGCCGCTCCTGCACCATGTGGAGATCAGGCTGGTTGTGCAGATGCTGGTTGGGTGTGCCACTTGCAGCGCGCACAAAGAAAGCTTGTGTGAAAGCCAAGATCAGGCATGCCTTCATTTGGATGCGTCTCTGGGGTCTAGTGCAGTGCCTTGCCAGGGAGACGACAGACATCTCTGCCCTGGTGCAGCGGCCTTGGCCATTTCCGACGTCACAGTTTCGGTTTGACAAGATGGGACCCCAAATCAGCCATCCCCTTGCCGCCTTTCACTCGACTGACGCAACCGCTTTGCAAAGCCGTTTTTGTGGATTCGTGGATCGTTACGGGAGGCCTCCCATCTGACCTCAGGTCGAACCTGCTGAGCGACCCCACGGACCCAGCCACGCCCACTGCGGTGCACATCAACTTGGCCCACATCTTGCCCAGCCATGTGGACACGCTGCTGTTCGAGCTGCTGCCCCTTGGCGGCGAAACAAGGAAGAGGACGGAAACGTCGAAGAGAGGTGCGGATGAGATTTGGGACCTCCAGATGGGACCGAGAGCCAACTGAGAAACATATGGCCATGGTTCAAAACCAATGGTACTATTTTGGGATAGGTGCACCACCCATTTTAGTCTATTTTAGTAGGGATTGGGATGTTCACTGGGGGTACGGGGTGTTGACCCATATAAAGGTCTGAACATTGCGCAACTGCTTAGCTAGAACTGCTAGTGTCACAGGCCATTTTGCAACATTGTGAGAAATGGTTTGCAGCTTTTCTGAGGATTGTGGGCATGCTCCGCGACACTCACCACAGCAAAGTCTACCACCGCAGAGCCAAGAAGGATTTCTTCTTCATTGAGATCCCAAACACACCAGGCTGAATTTGTTTTGGTTTTTGAAGCCAATCCACACCAGTATGGGGTCGGACTTTGTGACCACCACAACAGTGGGTTCAGCACAAGTGTTAGTTGCTGTTTGATTTTGTTCGCAGGGGAGAACACTGCGAAGCAGCTCTCTTTCTGCCTGATCCTGCCACGCATCTTCTTGCCGCCCCGGCGTGTTTAGAACTTCAGAGATTGCTTTGCAATGCCAGTCGCGTGCTGAGACCTTCATGCTTTTTCAGTGGTATCCTGGCAGTCTTCTGACATACGCCAGGCAAATGGGACGTGATCAAATCGATGAGGAGATGCCTGTTCTCAAGGAGGCGGGAGCATACTTTGGGAGGACGTGGGGTGTAACAGAGGGGCAGTAACGGAAGGGACAGAAGATAGCATCATGTCATCAGCGGGAATCGCTACAAGGCATACAGCAGAGTCTCGGCGATGCCAAAAATGCACGCTTTCTGCACGCTTAGAATTCAGAAAGATGACGTGGCACATTTTCATCAGCAGCACACGACACGACACGCGACACCCGCCACACGACACACGACACACGACGCACGACACACGACGCACGACACACCACAAGCAAGATTTGCACTGACACGCAACTAATGGAGCCTTAACATGAAAGCGCCTAACGGAAATTGTAGGTCACGACCACTTTCTGCGTGATCTACACAGGTATGCTGCGCGAACGGTTCAGGGAGCGGAGTGTTTTTTTTGAGCCGTGTGAGGAGGCTCAGGGCCTGAAGATCACCTTTGTGAAGAACGAGTTGCTGGAGCTGGTGGGCAAGACATTGGCGGCCATGAACAAAATGGCCTTCGACCCCAAGTCCAGGCATGGGCACAACTGGGCACCGCGAATGAGTGGAGCCTCTGGCAAGGTTTTTTGCCTATCCTACAAAGGGCCTTTCTAGACGACCCCAAGGAAGACATTTTGCGACTGTCTTGCAACATCCACAGCCGCTTCACAGGAACTTTGACGTGACCTGGACGGGGAACAAGGCTACACCAGTGCCTGTGCAAGACACCTACGACTACTTGTTTGAGGCCTGGACGCTTTCCCCTTGAAGGCATTTGGGCCGAAGTCGTTGGTGTCCATTGATAAGCCCGTGAACACATGGCTGTGGGTCAACAAACCGGTACCAAAATGGAACCCTGGTAAGTGGCAACATGGACCAAAACCCGCGTAACCCTTCCTGTTTAATTTTGAGCCAGACTCACATGCGTCATGGATTGTGAATGCCGGATTCCTTTCGCGGCCTCGGCTCAAGAGTTTGCTCAAGTCGAACAAACAACGACACGCTTTGGCCTACTTCGTGACATCGCAATGGTGGCAACCCAGGCACCTCCCGCCCAGACCAAGGCCAGACCCGTGTCCGCACGAGGGCTTTGGCAAGTTGGGGTACCACAGGAGGGGCTTGCCATATAGTAGCATGGGAGCCATGGAAGCTTTTTACACTGACAGCAGGGTTCTGTGTGAACTTGCCTCGTCAGTGGCATGCGTTGCGATGAGCCCTCGATGCTATCTTTTTTCTTGCTTGCTACGGGTAAAAGTAGTGACCACAAATCAGGTTTGTCACAAGGACAAGGGTGCTTTTTTTGGTGGAAGCCATGACCAGGGCAAGTCCCAGTTGTGATACATTTGCGTACCTTGAATATGAATCTGAAGGCTTGATCATCTATGGTCTTTTGTCGGGAGGAGGTGGGCGTCAGTCCGCCGCTGCCCACGCTGCTGCCCGGCCGGAGGCCGCGTTTGAGCCTGCAGGCTTCAAGACGATCAACCGCAGATTGCCCAGTTTTTCCTTCAGAGCATGTTACCAGGGCATGTGACAGCATGTGTTCTTTTTGTTTCCTGGACATCCACGCAAGCAATCAGACGCAAGGTCACTTTTGCAAGATCTCGCTTTGAGTCGGATCCAATGCAGGCAAGTCCCGACAGACGTGCCCAAGGACGGGGGGGGTGAGTTTTCTTTTGAGTATTCGCGGCTGCATCTCAGCCCAGGTGCCAAAACTTCAGAACTGCACCACACGAGGGAGTGCATTCGCACGGCAGCTTCTTTAGATCAACTGGGTTGCAACATGTTGGCTCCAGGGGCGGGTTGCGAGAAACCAACATGCCTTTGGGCGTCTGGAAAACGGATCTGGTCGATCTACCTAAGTGCATGCAATCACTGTTGTTCCAGCAGTATCCCACGGATACCTCCTCTGGCTGTTGTACCGGGTGTGTCTAATGGGGCCCGCCAAAATATTCCATGCGAAGGGGGCGGGGCTGGGAGGATGGGATGCCTGGCTGGCGGTCCTTTGAGACCTGGACTCATGGCCCAGTATTTCCTGACCGGAAGCCCTCAGGCGACTTCGTCAGATGACTCAGCTTCTCTCCAATCACTTTGGGTCTTGCCGTGAGGTAGCCTTCGCGGCATGGTTTCCAGCCTGCTTTTAAGGCTACGATCTCCTGCGCGTTGCACGCAACTTGCAGGAGATCGAGAAGAAAAAGGAGCATGAGAAGAACAAAGAGGCTCAGACTCCGAAGATTCTCCTCCTGAACCGGGAACAGGCACTCGCTCTGCAGCAGGAACTCATGATGGCCTTCAACCTTCCCGCTTTTCAGAATCCTGCTTATTTGGCGCAGGGGGCAGCGAAATAAGTTGGCAACGCCAAAAAGAGGGCCCGACAACCCATCTCCAACCTATGTGCATTTTAATGTATGCTTGGCTTGTTTCAAAGGAGGCATCGCCGCAGAAATTGTTCACTTGGATGTTTCATGGTTTGCGTGGCGTTGGCTTCGTGCGCCACGCCTAGGAGGGAGTTGCACGAGATTGGCCGAGAGCATGAGCGCAACAGCCCGGGCTTCAGGAAAGCTTTCATGAAGTTGGTGAGGACCGGGCATGCCTTTCACGGCAAGCCTGAATGCGATCTCAGAGTTTAGTTTTTTTCCCCTTCTCCGGAGCCGGGTTTGGCCGGGTTTCCGGTTCGCAACGATCTTCGGTCAGGAGGGAGCAATTGGACATCATCCCCCGCTACGGGCTCAAGGGCTCAGAGGAGGGCGTGGAGCAGATGCTCCGATCCTTTCAGCTTCTGAAGGATGATGCAGATGTGCAGGCGCGGACTGATTTGTTGGGCACAGAAGATTGGGACGGTCGGGGATGGGAAGATGCCGGCTTTCCTTTACTTGTACTGACAAGTTGCGACCTCCAAGACGGAGCTGCCAAAGTGTCCTTCATGTACTCATACTGGTATGTTGCGCTTGCCCTTTCCAAACAGGTTGCTGTCGACGCGGAGACCGATGTAGGGAACCCCAAAAGCGATGACATGACTCACGATCGCTCAGGTGAATGCAGCTGCCATCAACGACTTGCTGGAGATCGACAGGGAGCAATCGATAGGCTAGCGCTTGAGCTGGCACTTGAGTTGCAGAGCTTTGCTAAATGGCTGTGGGTCAAAAATGGGTATCCATTTTGGATCCCTGGTAAATGGAACCAAGGACTAAAACCTGCGCAACCCCTCCTGTTCAATTTTGACCCACAGCCAAATAGGCCTGGCCGAGCTCGGTTGTCTCAGGCGCAGACGCGCCGAAGCGCAAGAGCCCCATCAGGAACAAGCCCACTCAGATCTCCCAGGCGCGAGAGGGATCCCAACTTGCCCTGAAAAGAATGCTGATCCCATGCTGAAGGTGCGGGACATGCTGAAGTGGATGCTGAAAGAGTTCAGCAAGTTCACCTTCCAGGCGCGTTTGTGTCAGGCTCCCTCTCCACAGCGCCTTTGGGCACATTTTGCCGTGTGTCAAAACCAATGGGATCCCATTCTGGGGTAGGTGAATTCTCCACGGCCATTTGCCGAGTCCCTGAGGCAGACATCAAGGACCTGAAGCGCTGCCAGGATTTCAACCTGAAGCGGACCTACAATCCCAGGACGGAGTGCCGAGAGCTCGGTGTGCGGCGGTGGGTCAAAAAAATACCAACCGACCGCAGGTTTTGGGCCGTTTTTTCCACTTACCAGGGCTTGCGCCATGTTGGGGTTACCATGGGTTACCCTATTTTTGACCGGCCATGCCGTACGAGTGGCGAGCGGCGAGAGTTTGGGCACGCTGAGGCTTTGAGGACCCGGACGGCTACTACCACTTGGAGGGGCGTCCGGAGCTCGTGGTGATGGTCACCTCTACGATTCTGCCCATCTACGGCTTCGAGCCCAGCAATCAGGGGGTGCAGGATGGTCCATGCTCGCATCGAGCAGGGCGTGGCTCAAAATCAAAGGGCCAGGGTTACGCAGGTAGTCTTTGGTTCCATTTACCCAGGTGCTATTTTGGTACATCTTTTTGAGCCACAGCCAGCAATCATCGTGCGGCTGGGGGACTGGGGGACTGCCAGGACATGCTGCAGCACTGCGCTCCCTTCTTCAAGGACCCAGAGCTCGGCCTGCTGCTCGACCAGGCTGGAGCAGGAGCGAATGTCCCTTCTCATGCGCTTGCTCATGAACGCTGTGATTGGCCTGGGGGCTAGTTTTTGTTTGTTTTTGTTGTAACACAAAACACAATATACAGTGTGAGCGTTCTTCCTCCCAGATGCAGTTGAAACCTGCCAAAAGCACACATTTTTCCTGTATATGCCGGTTGGTTTCAATTGCAATAAGTTGCTCATAAGGTGAGGCACAAAGACGCAGCAGAACAAAGCTCTTGTAAAGCCTCGGATGGCTGAATGCACCTGTTGACGTTTGTTTTTTGGTGAAAGAGAGGACAGAACAGAGGAACACGAAGGGGCCACATGAATTAAATTTCACAGATGCTTCCGAAGCGAAGGTTCGACCTCTGTTTTGTCGAGTTGAAGGACAGGTTTGCGGTGGCTGCATGCTTTGGATCTGGAAAGGGCTCCGAAAGCAGAGTTGATCATTCAGATATGGCAGTGGGTCAACACCAATGGGATCCCATTTTGGTTGGTAGGTGAATTCACCACCCATTTTGGTCTAAATTGAGTTGGGATTGGGATGTTCACTGGGGGTACGGGGTTTTGACCCATAGCCATATGTTATTCCTCTTCTTTGGCAAGTTTCACTTGCACTTTGATTCCAGGCGACTCCCGATGCAATTTCATGCAATTTACCCTAGGCGTAGGCCCAAGATCTGGGGATTCGGATCTTCTGGACATCTCGGACCTTGGATCTCTGGTGAAGATGTGACCTCAGCCGGTCGCTTGTCACTTTTTGGACAAGACGATCGTTGATCCAGTGGCCGTTCCTGTGCGCACATCCGTTATCCCTGAAGAATGCACTCCAACGTTTGTTTGCAGGTTTCAGATACTACAAATGACGGCATGTTCAGGAATGACGACGTGATGTGTGACTCCTTCGAATACATAAACAGGTACGCAACACAGGAAGTGCGCCTGGTTCATAGCATCATGAGAGCCAGTGTGAAAACATTGTCTGAGTGCATTGGTGTTTACATTTGCTATGCAGCGGTTTTTCCCTGTATGTTTGGCGGCAACTGTTGACGCAGCGTGCTTGGCAATGCCTGTGCAATCCAATTTCGTCGCTGGCACGCCCTGCATCTTTCAAGTTCTCAGCCTTTTTTGAATGGATTCGGGGTCAAAACGGCTTTGTAAAGCTGCTGCGTTTGCCAACTCTTGCTAACTCAGCCAGGTCAATGCAAAGCTGGGCATGTCCCCTGCTGCTGTACAACGTTTCCATCACGTGGTGCTGTCCCTTGCAGAGTGAGATGAGGCACATGCGGCACATGTAATATCGATCATGTTTGACTGGAGCAGTGTCAGCTCAAAGCATAGCAATTGATGATTGGAACTCAATTGACTTGTGTTAGATTGTATGAGACGTGTTTGATTCAGCAAAGCTTCTTGAACGTGCATGAAAGCCAAGCACACAGTCCAAATGTTTGTTCCGTGCCTTGTCCTTTCCCCAGACACGCACACACGCACACACACGCCCACCTTTGTGCTGGTGTGCTAGGCTGAAGGCCAGGCGCAAGTTTTGACAAGGCAGTCTGCTATTGTCACACCTTCATGAGATCTGAACCAAACGTGACTTTTTTGGTGAGTCCTCCCGCCAGGTGAAGCGCACTCTCATCTTGGACTGGCACCCGGCATGGCCAGGTCAGCGCATTTGTGCACATGTTTGCTACTTTGCAGAAACTGCTGTGTACAGAGATATCAGTAAGCTGTTTTGCGGCAAGGGCCTGCGCTACAGCGCATTCCAGCATGATCAACTGGATCTTGACGCTTGTTTTCCAATGCTTTGTTCACTTGATGTCGCAAACGCAATGCCATGGCCGTCGCAATCGAACATTTGAATGCCTTGAAACCGGCGATGTTTGGTCTTTTGCAAAAGGGCGAGAGAAGATCACTGCTCGGCACAGCAACATTGCTGTAGCCGAAGACGAATGCTGAGTTGATTTGGGCCTCGGTGGGGCCCTTGAGCGTTTTCACACTTAATTGAGCAGGTTTACACATCACGAGCACAGAGTAGGCAAGCAACACTCGACCTTGCAGTTGTAAGCAGCAAGAGTGGATTCTGTCAAATGCCCTCCGGTCCCAATCATGGCAGTCTACTGTTTGCAAGGGATTTTCCAGGGTTCTAATGCTGTACATTTCTTTGCCCAATTTCTTTACGCCAACCAATACAGAGCCGTGCGCAATCATGCCAGGATGCATCATTCAACATCTATGATCATGTTGTTCACGATGTTGTTTATCAACATTATTCTCACCCTGGCCATCATCCAGCTCATTATGTTTTATTATCATCATTATGATTTGCATTAAGATGTTCATTGTCATGTTCAGAATCAGGCGGAAGGGTCAGCCGTGCCCGAAGTTTGTTTGTGCGACACTCTCACCGGCAGAGGGTTTGACATACACACTAGGAGGAAAAACACTTAAGATGGAGCAAGGGTCCCATGCCAAAGGTGTCCATTGTCGGCCACTACTTCTGGATGTTGGTGCCACTTGGAGCTGCTCTAATTCATCTTTGCACGGGTTGGGGCCCTCGGTCTCGGACCGGCCAAAATTCACAAACGCATCAGTGAACATTTCGTGCGTTGCATGTCCAACTGCCTGAAAAGAGTCTACAGGATTCTCAAGGCAAGTTAGAATCTTTCACACCTGATTCCAAAGATGGTATCTCGGAGCAGACCTGGTGATTCCTTCAGAGTTGCGAGCTTGAATGTATCTTGTTCGTGTAACGCATTTTTCGGCGAGCCGTCTTTGCGGAATTTATGGCATTGGCAGGAGCCTCCCCCTGACAGAGACTCGCAAAAGTCGAGTCTCTCAGGATTCTCTCAGATCCGTAGGGGTGTCGCTTCAGAGTCGGAATCTGTCCTCTTTCAAAGCCGATCTCTTCCTTGTTGTTGCTCAGCAGGGGATGAGGGAATGACCCCTACCATCCCTTGTGGTTTCCTTTGAGGGAATCCCTGGGTTCATTCCCACATTCCCTGCTGAGCACCAGCAAGCTTCCAAAGAGACTTCAGTTCAGGACACCCGGAAGCGCCTTGGATGGCGGTGCATTCATGTAGGTAGCGAAGCTCTTTTCAAGGCTTGCGTGGAGAGAAGGATGTCGCACGAGTATACGGCCAGGTGGAACCTTGTTCCATTGCGACACCTAGTAGCCACATCTCCCACGCACGCCAGTCATCTAGATTTCATCCATGCTTATTGTTTCTGACCCATGTCAGGACCTACACACGCATAGAAGCATGGCCCAGCATAGTTTGTCCACTGAGGTGGCCAAAGCAAATCCGCCGGTTGTGGGTTGTCTTAAACCCAGGGAACACCGCAAGTATTGGTTCCTTTTGGTTTCCCCCGAAAACCAACCAAAAGGGGTTCCCTCAAAAAGACACACCCATGACTGATTTCAAAGACCGGTGGCGCTTTTCAAGCCATTGTGAGCTTTCTCGACTTGCACTTCCGTTGGCCGTGTTTTGCAGAGTACACGGCAGTACCGGTTTGACCAGCGAGAAAGAGGATGCCTCGCGCACTTTGAGCTTAGGAAAGGGAGGAGGGTGCCCTTGAAAGGGACGGTGCAGGGGTCTAGAATGGTACTTTGGATGGACAGAATCCTGCACCCAAGAAACCCCGCAATGATGATTCCCTGTAAATACCAAACAAACCATGGTTAACCTTGGTTTCAAAGCGGTGTAAGATTTCGTCCACCCACAGTATGACGCCCTGGCTTTGGAATCAAGAGAAGGAGCTTTGATTGCAACGGGTCGCAAGACGATCAGCCCCTTTCAGGTCACCACCTCAATTTTGAGCTCCGTTTGGGCAGCTCGACGGATGTCGGGGTTGAAGGCATCATGTTTTTGGCCCTTATGTTGGCGCTTGCAACTGGTTCTCTAATGCACTAGGCTATGGACAAACGAGGCGTGAACGTAGAGGGAGTCCTTGTTCAGGGGGTCTCAGTTTGAGCAGCCAGGGAGTTTAGCCAGTTCTGGACATTTCGTCATGAAGGATGACTGGCAGTCATGCTCTCAGCAACATCTCCCGTTTCATTCCGCAACACCAGCCAACACTGCTGCCACCACCATGCTTCTCTGAGATTAGTGAGACAACTTAGTCTCGTCAGGTGGTGACAAATAGTGTTTTGCCGAAAGTACATAGCTTCTTGCTCCAAATGATCACGTCTACTATGACTGCATCATTCGTGTGTGGCTCGCCCCTACTTTTCCTGCTGAGCATCTTCTGTAATTCTTCCATAGTTTTCCATGACATTGATCATGAATGATGAAAGCTTCGTCCAATCGTACATGAATCCATGTTTTTAGTATCAAAACCACACTTGACCGCTGCCTTTGATGCACGTGCATTACCTTGGGGCAGGTTTGCTGCTCGGAAACTTCTCCTCCATCCTTCCTGGCGGGGAACTGAGCATGCAGAGTGGTCTGTTGGGCGTTCAGGACTAATTCGCAATGCAACAATTGAAGTCAGATGGAAACACGTCCGGAAATGTGACGGTCTATGATATAAGTGGAAGTCAGACAGCAGTGCCACGAATTCTGAGGTCTTCATGAACTTTGTGAAGTTCCTTGGGCATTTGATCAAGAGCGCAGAGGAGAGCACACTTTTCCTTGGGCTGGACTGCTTTAGAGCTTACTCCGCCAACTTTTTGAATGAGTGGCGACATGTCCCTTGGTTTTGATCACGTTGAAATATGTTCGACTTTGATGACAGGTATATGTTTTATTTGGTTTGGTATATGTTTTGAGGACTTTGATGGTTGATTATGATCTATGTTTGCTTTGGATTTGGCCCAGCCCTTTGAGCTGTGGGTGCGGGTTGGGAGCGTGGTGTGTGGTGTGTTGTGTGTCGCGTGTCGTGGTGTGTGGGTTGTGTGGTGTGTGGTGGGTTGTGTGGTGTGTGGTGCGTTGTGTGTTGTGTGTGTGTGTGGTGTGTGGTGCGTGTGTGTGTGTGTGTGTTGTGTGTGGTGTGTGTGTGTGTGGTGTGTGGTGCGTGTGTGTGTGTGTGTGTGTGTGGTGTGTGTTGTGTGTGGTGTGTGGTGTGCGTGGTGTGTGGTGTGTGGTGTGTGGGTTGTGTGCTGTGTTGTGTGTGTGTGTGTGGGTTGTATGGTGTGTGGTGTGTGGTGTGTGGTGTGTTTGTGTGTTTGTTTGTTTGTTTGTTTGTTTGTTTGTTTGTGTGTGTGTGTGTGCGTGTGTGCGTGTGTGCGTGTGTGCATGTGTGCGTGTGTGGAGTGTGGAGCGTGTTTGTGTTTTTGTGTGTGTGTGTGGAGTGTGGAGAGTGGGGTGTGGAGAGTGGGGTGTGGAGTGGGGAGACCCAATGCCAATCCAATTCCCAAAGAAAGCCCACACAACCCGCGCAAATCCCCCAGACAACACCCGCCAACATCCACGTATAAAACCCCACACAACCCACCCAACACCTATTCAAAACCCTCCCAAAGCCCACACGAAATCCACATTCTACCCACACAAAACCCTACGCACACGAAAACCCAGTAAAACCATACGAAACCGCTCCAACACTTTCACGAGACCCAGACAAGACCCACAGACAACCCCACCAACAACCGCACCCACTGCACCGAAACTGCCACGTGGCACTGGCCCGGGCCCCTCCGCCAGCGGCGCCGCTCCAAGCACTTGCTCGGCAACCCGCGAAGTGAAAATGAGTGAAGCTTCCAACCACGCCGAAGCAGTCGGCGAATTTGATGCCACTCTCCCCAAGATCATATTCACATGACACATAGCCCACAATTGTGCCTGTCAGATGCTCAGCGATTTGTCTATGCCCGAGAGATAAAGTCGCTTGAGATAGAGAAGCAGACAGATTGTACGGATTGTACAGGAGTGGAACATGATGAACTTGCAGCTGCTGCAAAACTTCGACCCAGGCGTGACAGAAGTTTTGCATGTTGTGAGTTCAGATGTGGTGCCCGGGGAAGTTGCTGATCTTGCGCTCCAGCACTCTCTGGTGTGGGGGCGTGTGTCTGTGCCTGTGTCTGTGTGCTTGTTCATTCCTGCAATCCAAGAGGCGGCTGATCAGATGGCCCGAATGCACATTGAGCCAGGCTTGAAGCATTTCAAGCACTGCTTTTTCCGCTTGCTCATCGAGACCTCCAGAGACTTCGCATTGCGGCAAGTGCCAAAGGCTGGGGCACTCACTCAATGCCACCGCATCGCGTTTTTGTGGCGACAATATGGGTGTGGGTCAAAACCAATGGTACCCTTTTGGGTTAGGTGCACCACCCATTTTGGTCTATTTTAGTGGGGATTGGGATGTTCACTGGGGGTACGGGATTTTGACCCATGGCCATACCACAACTTAATCTCACTGTTAATTTCTGAAGCATAGCAGGAAGCGGAGAACTGGTCTCACGCCGCATGCCTGCACAGTTGCTGTCAAGGCTTTCCATCTTACAAAACAGAAGGAGCTGAGCGGGTGAGTTCGCATTCTCAGATGCCATTTCGAGATCCTTCCGAGCAACTCCCGCAGGCTATGGACATCGGTCCCTCTGTTTTGCTGCCCCAGACAACCCTTTCGCGTGGTGGCAGCCGCAGCGGGGGCGCCCAGAATCTGAGCGAGCAGAGTGTGTCAGCAGATTCAGTTAGACGCATCATGAATCATGACAGAGCAGTTTTGGTTGCCATAAACCTGCACTCTTTCCTCACCAACTCGGTGCTTTGGAAAATGCACAAATGCACGTCTGACAAGTGGCCTGAGCAAGCCCTGTGCTCTGGCGAAGCACTGTCGCCGCCAGACCCGGACGCCAACATGCCGCCAGAGTTGCTGCGTGGTCTCAGTAGCTCGAGCGGGCCGCCTTCGCTCTCCAGCAGGGGAACCCAGTGGGCCAAAGCCCATGGCGAGTCTCACGCGGCAAGTCTCGACGCTGCTCCCGTGGCTCAGGAAAGGTCAGCGGCCCCGGCGCACCGTCGCTGCACCGCCAGCGCTCGCGGGCCCAGCAGGAGCTTCAGGCGCAGAACGAGGCGGGGAGCGTTTCGGGAGAAATCAAATCATTGAAAATTGGAATGCGATCGAGTTGGAGGCATGTGTGCTTTCCTGGACGTGTTCGGTTCCGTGCCACTTTTGGGAGTTCCTGTTAAGAAGGGTGAATACAGTTCTGAAAGTTCAGTTCTGCAAGATCCCCTTTTGATCCACGCGATAAACAGTCGCTGCCGCATTCCCTTTTGATCCGCGCGCGAGAAAGAGTCGCTGCCGCAGAGGGGTCGCTTCACCCTTGACCAGCTCAAGAGTAAGTACAATGCTAAATTGCGATACTTGCTTGCAGACACCGTTGACGGACAACAATGGCTTTGATAATTGTTTGTAAGCAAGCGGGAGAGAATGCATGGGAGAAGCACGCACCAAACAATATAGAGTGCATTTGTGCAACCCCATATGAGCAAGCAGAGGGGCTTCAACCCACCTCAATATCTATACCCCCCCCCCACACTTTTCAGTCCATTTAAAAACAGCATACCATTTCAACCATTCAAATCCAACATTCCAGTCAACATTCCAAAGCTACCTACCGTTTCAACCATTCAAATCCAACATTCCAGTCAACATTCCAAAGCTACCTACCATTTCAACCATATTATTTCCTTACTGAGGTGGGTTGAAGGTCCCTTATTCAAAAACCCCCAACAACAAAGAACATAACCAAAAAACCAACAAGGAACAGAACATAGAACATTCCAAAGCAACCAACCAACGAAACTGTCCAAAGCTTCTTTTCAAAGAGCATGAACATAAATCTTACAATGTTTTTATTGTAAGGTTTATGGGTTAATCTTCTTCAAAAGGTGGTATTTTAAACACAGGACATTCCACAAATTGATTACAGCATAAATGTTTTCGGTGCCTCTTGTTGTCATACATATATTGTATAACCTTATTAAAATCAGCAATTGTTCTATCCAAGTTGAATTTCTCCAACTTAATAATGTCAATTACCATATCTACATCATTATTACCTATTCTCCGATAAATTTGTTTTAGACAGTCTATCCTTTTAAATGAAAAGTTAAACTCCTCTCTCAATACCTTTTTATCTGGAAAGAAATTACATTTAACAAACAAATATGTTAAACCATCAATTGCTTTACATTTGTTTTTTCTTTCAACAATTTTAGGTAGTCTCCTTAGGTATTGGCAGTCTTCACATTCTTGATAACTAAATTTACATATATCATTGATAATATTTTGAGGTAAATTTAATTTACATAATTCAACCTTTTTATCTTCTAATTTACAAGGGCAATTTATGATTTTAGTTTTCATAATTTTACACATATCACTTACATAAATTGTATTCAAGAATTCGTTAATAATATTTTCTTGCTCAATTTCACTGAACATGTTCACTAATATATATAGGCAGCTTGTCTTTAAACCCTTTTTAGTCTAAAACTATAACTTTAACATTTCATGTCTCAATAATAATTTTGGATAATCACTAACTGAATAATATTTTTGCCCTAACTTAGTTTCTGTTTTAGTTACGGTGTGAATAGTTTTCAAATAATGACTCGTCCGTTCTTTTTCACTAATTCCTTTTTTCCTCATAATCTTAACCTTATCTCCAATATCTAAATCAGGATACACACGGGTTTTTCTGGCATTCATTGATATATTCAGTTTCACTTCAAACTCATTTTTATGTTTCCTTGCTTCTAATGGTGTCATTTTCGTAATAGAACTTACCAATTTATTATTATAAGTTAATAAGATTTCCAATATGTAGTCAGTCCATTGAATATTATTTTTACCTTTCTTCTCATCGGCATCAACTCTTTTGAAAAGCATATCTTTAAATGTCCTTATGAAACGTTCTCCGAAAGCAGGGTGTCCCCGTGTAGTGTGTAATTCAATTTTCTCTTCCTTCAAATAATCTGTAATGGTAGAACTAAACAGACTGCCTTCTTCGTCGCTGTATATTAATTTAGGTTTGCCATCCATCTTTTTTAATCCTTCCATTATTCCAGCTAATACATCAGCAGGTTGCTTACTTTTAATAGGTATAACAGTAGCATATTTACTGAATATATCAACTAATATTAATCCAACTCTAAACTTTTGATTATCCAAATCATTTTTTGAAATGAAAAACAAATCCAACTGGAATTCCCAGAAGGCATGAGGAGCAACAAAACTATTTTGTCCTCTTGGTTTTCTTTTCTCTTCAATGTTCTTCTTGAAGAATTCATTTACATCGTCCATAGTAATTGTTTTGTCCTTCCTTCTTGCATCTTGTAAAGTTATAGCTTTACTTCCGTATCCGCTTTTATCATAATAAATATCACTAATTATTTTTTGTTTATCCATATAATTAATTAAGATTTTAAAATAAAAATCTTAAAATCTTAATGCGCTGATACATTACAATAGTAGCAATAACCGACGCAATTATCTATTTCATGGCTTGTATCATTACAAAGCCTTTGTGCGGTAAAGTTGCTACACAATTTACCTTGTTTAGTTTCAAAGTTAAATGGTGTATTACACTTCTGGCATCTGTTCTTGAAATTATCCAAGCACCATTCGGCAGTTATGTATTCCTCTTCATTGATTTCTCTCTTTGCTTTCCTATCCTGTATTTTATAATTTTCTACTTTATTCTTAAAATATCTCATTATCATATTTTTATTCAATTGCTTTTCAAAGTCATCGTTCTTGAAAAATCTGACTTTTCTGAAATCAACGCACCTTGTAATAGAAGTCCAAAGCCACTCACGATTTACAAATGGTAAATTCCATTCATGAATTGTCATGCTTTCTTTCACACTTGCACCCTGTGAAGAATGGCATGTTGCACAATATGAATAAATGAAATTAGCATCTACAAAAGGTTCAAACAACATAAATTTATCTTCTTCATTTGCTATGTTTTGCAATGTTATTTGCTTCCCTAATTCGTCATTTTCAATCATAACTATTATATACCTTAAATTTACATTGACCCTCGGCTTTTTTATCCATTTTCTGGCAATCAGAATATCACCTACTACATATTTGGCATTTATGTTTAATCTGTCTCTGATTTCACTTGCTACATTTCTACACCGAATATTAGTGTATGCTATGTTATGTTCCGAAGCCATTATATCATCAGTAATCTCAAAGTATTTAGGTATTATTTCATTGATAGGCAGTTTCTTTTCCCAGAAGTCATCATACATATCATTAATTATCTTCCTGTTTCTTTCTCCTTCTTCGCTATCTTTTGCTCCTACTCTCTTACATACTGTTAAAAAGATGTTGTATTTAAAAATTGTATCTAAGCAATTATCCATATATGTTGCCGGGTCTTGGCAGTTGGTCATTGCTTCCACCCCTTGCAATTGCTTGACGTCGCCCGTGGCAATTACAATTTTATCAGGATTATTTTGAATAAATAACCTTACATTATTAAGAACATACAAATTTGACATATAGATTTCATCAAATACAATCACATCATAAGGTGAGTAATCATACTGTGGCAATTTCTCTCCGACATCTTCATGAACGGCAATGCTAAAAAACTTATTGTAAGTGGTGGCTTCTACTTCTTTTTCTTGTAAAAGCCGGTTAGTTGGAACTACAAATAAAACATTCTTATTCATCTTTTGAAAGTATTCGCCAATATAACTTTTGCCTGTGCCCGGGAATTTACCTTTTATAATCACTGGGTTTTGTTTAATAATCTTCTTACATATTTCTTCTGTATTCCATTCATCTTGAACATCAATATTGAAATTTCTGATTTTAGGTATTTCTGGAACTTCATTATATTTATATGTATATGAGTTGGTAGGTAGTTGGATATGTTTTTTATCTTCTATCCTCCAATCGCCTATCTCATTACCACATTTCAGCAGTCCATTGCTTCTTCCAAATAATTGAAAACGAAAAACTTTATCTAAATCATCTTCATGAATAGTGAAGGCATCTGTTTTAACACTATACACCTTGACATTATTATCAGTCATTGTTTTGTAGGCTTCATACATTTTGAAATTATGATATTGCAATAGCAATTCTTTGATATAGATAAATCCGTTAGTTAAAACTTTTTTGTCAGCAACATTCAACACATAGTATGTTTCACCAACAGGAGATTCTTCTAATTGAGAGCTATCTTCATCTACTTCTACCAATTCCAATTGGCACTTGCTGATAGTGTAAATCTTGCCACCATATAGGCTATGGTAGTAACAGGCTTCTTTCAATGAACTAAATACACTGCTTTTTTGCGAAGTGTTATGCGATTTTTCAAGCATACCAGCGCTAATGTTAAATATTTTCTTATGGAGTTGCTTATTCAGGTCTTCGTTATCAGACAGTTTTGTATCATACAGTTCATCAATTATTTTTTTGTAATTTACTTTATATACATGGTTAGGTTGCTTATACCATAATATTTTTAATTTTACATTATGTTTAATTAACTGGTTTAAAAACTTTCCATACACCAAGTTATATTTTTTATTGAAAAAGATGTTGCCCTCATACACTTCCACAATGTATAAAGTCAAACTGTTTAACTCATTGACATCACACTCATTCTTAAAAGGTTTGAAAATATCAAACTCTGTAAATCTAGGTATGTATTTAATACAGCATCCAGCATGTGTAAAAGCCTTTCTAATGTCAATCTCGCATAAATTGTTACTTGCTACATCTTTGATAAAATAACCAATGGGGACAATTGTTTTACAGTCTTTCAATATCTGTATATCAACGTCATTGTAATAAGACAAATGGTTTTGTTTAAACATTTCTTTTTGTAATTTAAACATTGCTTTTACAATATTGTTATAGGTTGTTCCATCATCCACTGCCACATCTTCATCCATCCTATCTTTTGATAAGCTCTGTGATGCAATATTATATTTGACATATTTTTTGAGTTGTTTATAATAAAACTTACACATAATATTTGCAATTTGTCCGGAATTGCCATACTTAATATAAGGCTTATATCCTGCATTATTGAGTTGGT